GATCTCGCGGTCGTAGATGTCTCTCTTGCAGTCTGCGTTTGAAGCTGCTTGATGGTGCTGGCCTGTTTGTTCAACCTCTCACGTTTCGATTCCATCTCCGTCTGGAGCTCCCCGATCTTGGCGTTGGCCTCCTCGTGTGCCGTCGCCATCTCGAGATAGAGCTTGCCGAGAATCGCATCCAACGCAGCGGCGATGCTTTCCTGGAGCTGGCCCATGGGCGCATTCACCACATTTTGCAGCTCAGCAAGAAGCCCCGAGTTGTTGCCTCCCGCCATCGCGAGCGAGCTCCGCTCCCGAACCGAATTGGCCAAGCCCAGTGCGCCCCTGGGCAGCGGGATGCACCTCGCACGTGGGGTTTGGACCGAGGTTGGGTAGTACATGAGCAGGCCCCTTGAGCCAAAATGGATTGAGCTCAAAAGGCTACAGTGCCGCTTTTAATACATGCTCCGCGTGCGGATCTTATATTTAACATAAAGGGATCGAGCATTAAAAACAACGAGGAGTTCATGCATAAAGTTCTTCATAAATTAATAATGTATTAGAATCCTATAGTTTTAAAAATCCCACTATTAAAACCTGCCCTGTACGGAGAAGGAGGAGGAGGGGCCAAGGCAGCGCCGGTGGCCCGGGCTGGGAGCGGCTGTGCAGGGGCGCCGCCGCCGCCGAAGCCGCCGCCGACGCCCGCCGCCAGCGCCGACACCGATGCCGACGACGCGGGGCCAGAATACGCCAATGCCGACGACGCGCGATAGTGGAACGATAGACTGCCAAGTGCTGTCTGCTCCTCGGGATAATCATATATATATATATAGAGAGAGAGAGAGAGAGCGAGAGAGAGAGGGAAAGAAAGAGAGAGAGAGAGAGAGCGAGAGAGAGAGAGAGACAGAGACGGAGACAGAGACAGAAAAAGAGAAAGAGAGAGAGAGAGAGAGATCGCAAGCACGCGAGTCCCACCAGCCCTTTAGGGCGTGAGTGGCTTAGAGCTTTTCTTTTTGCTTCTTCTGATTACTAACCATATACTTAATATGATTAGTATTGTTATTCGTCTTCTTCTTCTTCCGATACCCATCTTCAAATTGGGAGAAGGGTTCATCATTGTTCCCTATCAGTATACATCCCCTCCCCCAGGCTCCCTTTTTTGATCGATCACCCCCTAGGTGCCCCCAAGATGGCCCCCGAGGCTCCCAAGAGGGCCCCAAGAGGGCCTCAAGAGGCGCCCAGGAGGCCGCAAGAGGCCACCAAGGGGGCCCAAAGATGCCCCCAAGAGGTTCCCAAGAGACCCCCAAGAGGCCCCAAGAGGCCCCCCCGAGGCACCCGAACGCTTCACGAGGCCCCCGGGGCCGCCAAGAGGCCCCAAGACGCCCCAACTGGCCTGCAAGAATCTTTCGCGAAACATCCGAAAACACTCCAAGAAGCATCCAAGAGGCCTCTGGACTAACTATTTGCCACCCTCCTCCTCCTCTTCCTCCTCCTGCTCCTCCTCTTTCTCTTTCCTCCTCCTCCTCCTCCTCCTCCTCCTCCTCCTCCTCCTCCTCCTCCTCCTCCTCCTCCTCCTCCTCCTCCTCCTCCTCCTCCTCCTCTTCCGCCTGTTCCTCCTCCTCCTCCTCCTCCTCTTCATCCTGCTCCTCCTTTTCCTCGTCATCTTCATCCTCCTCCTCTTCTTCCTCATCCGCCTCATCATCCTCCTCCTCCATCCTCAATTTTCCCTCCTCCCTCCTCCCCCCTATCCGTCCTCCTCCTCCTCCTCCTCATCATCATTAGAACCCAAAAAAGCTCGAATAACCAAAACAGCATTCTTGGATCATAAACCCATGTGATAGAACAAGACAGTCCCAGCCAGACATGTTCTAAGAACATTTCGTGGAAACCACAGAAGATCATCAAAACATTATTTGGTAGGCCTATAGGCGAGCCAAGACGCTTCGCCACTGCTTGGCATTCCTCCTCCTCCTCCTCCTCCTCCTCCTCATCATCATCATCGTCATCATCATCATCCTCCAGTTCCTCCTCTGTCCTCCGGCTCTTCGGGTACGGCGGCTTCCAAACTTTCTTTCAGCGCGCGTTCCCCCGCATGACTGGGCAATTCGCCTGGGCTTCGTTTCTGGACGGGTTGGTGGGGTCACGCGAAGCATGTAGGATGTAGAACCAGCAACACTAGGATTGACCAACGTGGACCCTAACATTGAAATGTTGCACATGGATGTGTAGGCTACGCAGCGTGATCGATCAGGTGTGAAAAGTGTGGTGCGACCCGTGATGTGTAAGCTCGGTGGCGGGAACATTTATATATGTGTATATACATATGTATAAATACATGCATGCATACATACATAAATACATGCATGCTTGCATACATATATACATACATACATACATACATACATACATACATACAGACAGACAGACAGACAGACAGACAGACAGACAGACAGACAGACATCCATGCATGCATGCATGCATGCATGCATGCATGAATACATACATACATACATACATACATACATACATACATACATACATACATACATACATACATACATACATACATACATACATACATACATGCATACACACATACATGCATACATACGTACATCCGTACGTACATACCTTGAAAAGGGCGCACTATGTATGGTGTGAGCTGTGTGGTGCAAGCTAGGTTGCGAAATGGATGTGGTGCAAAACGCGTCGTATGAGTCATGCACTGAAATACCTGCGGTGTAAAATACGTGACGTGAGCTACGTGGGGGGCAAACAACGCGGTGCAATCGACGTAGCACAATCGGTGCAGTGCAGTACATATGGTGAGAGATATGTGGTGTATGTTATGTGGTACTTTGTACATAAATATATGGCGTGAGTTATGATATGTGAGCTGCACGGCGCACGTTAGGTAGCACGTTCGATTAGGCATGAGCTCGTGCTTCCATCTTCCCACAAACACCCTATCTGAGTCTCGAGAGCAGGCAGTAGGCTCCCTCGGGAGCCCAGGCAGATTGTCAATAAAAACACAATGCAAATGCCACGCACGGAGGCCGTCTCGCACGCCAGACTGAAGCGGCGCTCCCTCTGCTGGGGCGAGCGGCCGCAGGGCTTACCGGCCGCATGCTCCGCCCTTGACGTCCGCCGCGAAGTCCCCGAAGGCCATCGCCACGTCCTCGGGCCTGCCTTTGGCCTTGCCACCCCGCGCATCGGCGTCGAGGCGTATGACCGCGGCCTTCGAGCCCGAGCTGTGCACTCGGCCAGCGCACCCAACAATAGGACCCGCCACCGCCCGCACACTCGCGCCCAGCGGGGGAGGAGGAGGAGGAGGAGGAGGAGGAGGAGGAGGAGGAGGAGGAGGAGGAAGACGAGGAGGAGCAGCAGCTCCGCCAGCCAGAGGCACCGCGGCGCTTCGACCAGCTCCGCCGCGGCATCGCCGTCCGCCGCCTCGGCGCCCCCCCCCCCCCTCGCCGAGCCAATCGGAGCTCCAGGCGGCTCATGGGTAGGGGGCGCCCGCGCCCCAGCAGCCGCCCCGCCAGCTCCGCGAACCCATTCCGCCGCCGCCGAAGGGCTCCCGCCTCCAACTCCGCCGCGGCCGGCGCGTCAAGGCGCCCGCCCGCCCGTCGGACTCGAGGTCCGACCATGCCCACGTCTGGCGCCTCGGGCGCCGCCCCAGCCGACTGCACGAGCACCAGGCCCGCACGCACGACCTCGGCAAGCCCCAGCAGCGCCAGCCGCCGCAGTGGCAGGGGAGCCCCCCGCCGCCTCGCCGAACACCTCGTCGTCCATGTTCCATGCTGTCGTCATCGTCTGGGCGTGCAGCTCCAGCACACGCCGCGCTATAAGGCCGACGGCCATCACCTGCAGCTCCGGCCTCCGCACGCCCAGCCTGACGCGCCTCCGCCAGGCGCTGGCGCCGGCGCCAGCGCCGCTCCGCCTTCGCCCCCGCGGCGGCCCCAGGATCTCGAACACGAGCTTCTCGGCCAGCCTCGGCAGCTCCAGCGTCCGCAAGCGGCTCCGGACGCGGCGCCGTAGCACGCAAAGCTACAGACACTGCGGCTCGCGCCACCGCGGCCACCGTGCGCCGCGGCGCCTTGGCCTCCATCGCCGCACGAACTGCGGCCGCTACGAGTGCGGCCCCGCCCACGCCAGCCATCGCTCCTCTGGCACCACGCGCACCACCCATCACGCGGATGCGGACGGCCAAGGGGAAGGCATGCGAACGCTGGAACCAAAATGGCTTGAGTCCACGTTGCTCGAGAGAAATGGCTACGGTCGAGTTGGTAACTACGAGCTACTAGCTGCCAGCTGTGTGGTGCACTCGACGTGGCGTGAGCTATGTAACTAGTGTATGCACACGGCGCCCACGAGGCGCCCAAGGGCGGCAACGGGGCGAGACCTCGCCGAACCCGCCCAGCGCACGGGGCGGCCACGAGGCGGCACCGGGCGCCACCGTGGCGAAGTCTCGCTGCACCCGCCCAGCGCACGAGGCGGCCACGAGGCGGCCACGGGGCGGCAACGTGGCGGAACCTCCCCAAGGCCCACGCAACGCACGGGGCGGCCAGAAGGTGGCCACGGGCGGAAGCCTCGCCAGACCCACCCAGCGCACGAGGCGGCCAGAAGGTGTCCACGGGCGGCAACGTGGTGAAGCCTCGCCGGATCCACCCGGCGCACGAGGCGGTCACGAGGCGGCAACGGGCGGCAGCGTGTCGAAACCTCGCTAGGTCCACCCAGCGCACGAGGCGGCAACACACCGAATCTTCGCTTGATCCACCCAGCGTACGAGGTGGCCACAAGGCGACAACAGGCGGCAACGTTGCGAAACCTCGCTGGACTCACTTAGTGCACGAGGCGGCCACGAGGCGACCACGGGCGTCAACGCGAAAAATCCTCGCTGGACCCACCCTATTCTCTAGTGGGACGAGTGAGGACCCCTAATATCTAGCAGGGAACAACACACAAAAACAAATCAACAAAAATGACGTCGTCGTCGCCGCCGCCCCCTCCCCAGGCGTGGCCCATGAAGACGTCGGCGGCCAGCGCCACTCCCATGAAGCACCACCCCAGGCCCATCAGGTAGAGGAATCCTGCGGCCCGCAGGGGAGAGAACGAGGAGGCCCCATGGCTTCCTGTCCCTCGAGGCGTAGGTGGAGGAGGAGGAGGAGGAGGAGGAGGAGGGGGGGAGGGGAGAGGAGGAGGAGGAGGAGGAGGAGGAGGAGGAGGAGGAGGAGGAGGAGGAGGATCAGAGATTCGAAGGTCGAGGATCGAAGGTCGAGAATCGAGCCTTGAGCAAGTTTTCGGTCTTTTTGGAGCCTCTGGGAGACTTCTCCACGCCATTGCCGGATTCCCCATCGACATGCTGAACAGAACGCACCCCGGGGGGGGGTCCAGGGCCGATTCTGAATGACGGGGGAAAACACGCGGAGGGAGAGGAGAAGGGAGGAGGGGGAGAGGGAGGAGGGGGAGAGGGAGGAGGGGTAGGGGGAGGGGAGGGGGAGGGGAGAGAGAGGAGAGAGGGAGAAGGGAGGAGAAGGGAAGAGGGGGGGGGAGGAGGAGAGTGGGAGGAGGGGGAAGGGGGGGGGAGGAGGCAAGCTAGGTGCGCTCGCGTCATATCTGACGTCCTCCCTCTATCCCCCATCCCTGACCATGGCGTAGACATCCTCTCTACTCGCATACTCGCATAATCGGACGTCGCAGCATGGCATAGCATCACACGACATAGCATGGTGTGGAAGATCAACACGTAGCATGACATAGCATGACGTGGCGACGCCCAAAAGTGGGGGGGGCTTCTGCGGCCCAAAGAGCAACGAATCGGCACCGAATGTGGAATCACTTCCGATGGTTTTTCGGCAGGCCATTTTCCAGATTTTTGGGCCTGTTTGGAAGGACCGATAATAATGACGCCAGCGCTGCAGCGGAAGCACGATTCGGGACGAGCGGAAGCGCGGAAATGAAGCCAGCGCTGCGGCGGGAGCACGATTCGGGACGAGCTGAAGCGCGGAAATAAAACAAGCGCTGCAGCGGGAGCACGATTCGGAACGAGCGGATGCCCGAAAATGAGGCCAGCGCTTCAGCGGGAACAACATGTTAAACCCAAGTCCTGGGAATCCGGTGTGTATAAAACAATACGCGGAAGGGGGGCCGGATATTTTCCGGACGTCATCAGAGGAGAGAAGAAAATACTTTTCATCTTGTGAAAATGTAAAACGGAGGACGGGGAAGAGGGAGAGGAGAAGGGAGGAGGGGGAGGCGGAGAGGGAGGAGCAGGAGGAGGAAGAAGAGAAGGAGCAAGGGGGCAGAGGAGGGGAAGGGGAACAGGAAGGGTGAGGTCGCTCGGTCGACGCAGCACAAGGGCTTGTTTGGAAGCGCAGCGGCACTGCGACGTGGCCCCAAAAAGGAGCCACAAGAATGGATACTGAATTCAGAAACCAGTGTTGGCAGCACTTGTCGCCGCCCTGGTCGACGGATAAGCAACAGAATGGGCGGCTCCGGCGGGGAAAATCTGCCCTGAGGTGAGCCACTAAATCGACATGACCTCCAGGGCGCTGGCGGACGCCAGTTGTACACCGGTCCTGCACAAGCCCATCCTGGCAGCGCCCGGGGCAAACATGTACTACCTACCAGACCACCCCAACCCAACCCGAAGACCCGAAGTTTGGGTTGGGGGGGTACGGGTTTCATGTGTTTTTTTTAAAACACTCCCCACCCCCCCACTGGAAATGGAAGGCAAATTGAAGCTTTCGGGTTGGGTTGGGGTGGTTTGGTGGGTGGTGAGATAGCCTCACTGGCAAGCCGCCGCACCAACGCAACGATGCATCTGCCCTCGCCGACTGCCACAAAACAAAGGAAAAATACGGCCGGACACTTGACTGCGAGTACGCAGCGCGGGGCAAGAGGAGGCGGACCAGAAGGAGGAGGAAGAGGAGGAGGAAAGGGAACGAGGAGCAGAGGAGGAAAGAGGATGGACGGAACAAACGCTCCCGAACCGACCCTGCTCGAACCGACCTGCAATAGGCAAGCCCGGGCGGTGAACAGCAGAACGAGTTGAGCCGATCCGCCAGAAAGACGATGCCTGGACTCCTGCACTGTGAATAAAGGCCTGGTGGGTAGCCGATGGTATTAGGCCGCGTCCGAGACATCCCAGACAGGCTCGAAGGTGGCGGCCATAGGATCTGGAAGAAGAGAAAGGGGACGACGAGGAGGAAGGAGGAGGAGGAAGACAAAACGCTGCGCGTCACCACGCGGCCTCGGGGCCCAGGAGGAAAGAGCAGGAGGAGGAGGAGGAGGAGGAGGAGAAGGAGAAGAAAGGGGGAGGGAGGGCGGCAAGCAAGCAGCAGGCAGGCGGGGGAGGCACGGCCGCGGGGTGTGAGCCACCAGGCCCCGCTAGTTAGGCACGCGCGCAAGGGGCGGGGGCGGGGGGCGGGCGAGCTGCGGCGCCGGGTGGCCGCACGGGCGCCCTGGTGGCGTCCATTTGCAAGCACGGCCTGCACGCTCCACGCCCGGCGCCAGAGCCCCGCGCCGACTGCGGCGGAGAGGCGCCGGCACCGCCACTCCCCGTCGGAACAGCAACGCCTCCGTAATTGTTCAACCGCGTGAACGCGGAGGACGGCTGTCGTTCGGGGGCGAGGCCGGACGCAGCACGTGAACGCCAGCGGTTGGTACGTGATGCTCCGCCGTGCCAGGGCGTCCGCGCGCGCGGAATAGCACTCGACCTTGCGTCGGCGCGTGGTGGCCACGCAGTCAGGGCCTGCGGCCACAGCGTCGGGCGAGGCCACGCCGACATCCAGGGCCATGAGGCCGTTGCCCAGGGCGCCAGTGAGGATGTCTGCTGGTCGGAGCCACGTGCCTAAAACCAGGCCTGGGGCCTCGAGTCCGGCACCAGGGTCGCAAACTTTGGCAGCACCGTGCACCCGTCGCGCCACTGAGCGGTGCCCCCGGGTGGACTCCGCGCGGCTGCAGCACATCGCGTGGGACCCAGCCTGGCCCAATAGGGCAGCGCCCCAAAGGCCGCAGGGGACGGAATCGAGAGGTCCCGCTGCGCCGACGCAAAAGCGGAGAGCCTCGACGAAGCCAGGGGCGTCCATCACTTGGCCCTTGTGCTTGGACAGGTTCCAAAAACAGGTGTGGCCGCAGTCAGGGTGCTCAAGGTCGTCGAGCCGCCGCAGTGCCATGTCGTCGCCCGCGTTCTGGTGCCGGTCGTGGAGGTCGTGCCTGCCCTGCTCGTCGAGGTAGCGCACGAGCGCCTTCTGCAGGTGCAGTTGCTCTGTGTGCGGAAAAAACAGTTGGGGTGTTCGTCGTCCTCGTCCTCGCCAAGAGGAAGCAGGCTGCGGCCGATGCCCGAGGGGTGGGCGCGGCGCCCCCCGGGGGCGGCCGCGGGCGCCTCCGCGCGCGGGTCGAAGAGCGCAGCCCACCGCTCCTCAGTTTCCACGAGCGACTCCGAAAGCGTGGCAACGGCGAGGGCGCCCTGCGCGGGCGGGAGGCTGAGGGCGAGGCGCGCCGCGGCCTCGTCTGCGCGCGGGTCGTAGGCTGTCATGACGAGCCCCGAGTCACCCAGCCCACTCTCTGCGAGGTGCGTCGCCATCTCACGTACGTGCGGTCTTGAGCATCCGCGGCTGGCCACAAAGGCGGCCAGCGACATCTGCGTGGCGGTCCGCATGCCGAGCCCCCCCTTTGCTTGTGTCAAGCGCGCACTGCTCCCGAGGCAGCTTCCACCTCTTCCCGATCATCCTCCCGATCATGATCCACCCCATCCCTCAATAACGGGGCGAATGCCCGCACTATGCTTCGTGCAGCCAATGTCCGGTCCGAGGGGTATACCTCTGCGGGATAAAGAAAGAAACGAACTGAAACCCGCGGGGGTCCGCAACGAACTGAAACCGAGGCAGATTGAGAACGCCTGCAACAGCTAGGCAGCGTGAGTTCCCATGGGACATGACTGCCGCTACCGCCAAAGGGCAGACAAATGCTGAGTCAAACGCTTGTGGCCAGAACTGGCTATTTCCACTGAGCCCGAGCCACATCGGCAAACGCACGAAGGAAGTAGCGCGACAGGCGTTCAACTAGCTTCGGTCGGGCCCGCAACCTCGGAGACGGAGGGAGGAAGGATGGGGAAGAGGAGGAGGAGAGGGAGGAGAAGGAAAAGGTGGAGGAGCAGGAGGAGGAGGGAAAGGAGGAGGAGGGAGAAGGAGGAGGTTCTGAGGAGGAGGAGTAGGGGGGGAGGGGGAGGATGAGGGGAAGGAGGAGAAGGAGAGGAGGAAAGAGGAAGGGAGCAGAGAAGAGAGGATGTAGAAAGGGAGAGGACGAGGGGGGGAATAGAAGGGGAAGGAGGGGGACGCAAGCTAATGTGCGCTCACGACTCTCTGACATCATAAACCTCCCTCCCCCCCCCCCCCCCTCCCGTCCCGTCCAATAGCGCTGAGCTTGCCTCACCCCTCACCTCTCCTTCCGCCCAATCCCCCCCCCCCCATATCTCCTCTCCTCCTCCCCCCTCCCTCCTTTCCTTCCCTTTCCTCCTCCCTCCTCTCGCTCCTACCTCCTCCTCCTCCTCCTCCTCCTCCTCCTTCTTTCTACTCCTCCTTCTCCTCCTCCCATTCCTCCTCCTCCATTCTCCTCCTTCCCCACCTCCTCCTCCTCCTCCTCTCCTCCTCTCCTCCTCCTCCATCATCCTCAGCATCATCATCATCATCCTCCTCCTCATCCTCATCCTCAGCCTCATCACATCATCATCAAGCAGCAATCAGCATCACAACAGCATCGTCATCATCCTCATCATCATCATTCATCATCATCATCATCATGATCATCAGCATCATCAGCTCCTCATCATCCTCATACTCATCATCATCATTCATCATCATCATCAGCATCATCATCAATCATCATCATCATCATCATATCATCATCAGTTTCATCACATCATCATCCATCATCATCATCATACATCATCATCATCATCACACCCTCCCTCCTCCTCCTCCTCCTCCTCCTCCTCTTCCAACTCCCCTACCTCCTCCACCGCGTTTCCATCCTCCTTCCCTCCTCCTCCTCCTCATCCTCCTCCTCCTCCTCCTCCACCTCCTCCTCCTCTTCTCCTTCCTCCTCCTCCTCCTCCTCCACCTCCTCCTCTCCTCATCCTCCTCTTCCTCCTCTTGCCTCCTCTTCCTCTCCTCCTCCTTCTCCTCCTCCTCCTCCTCCTCATCATCATCATCATCATCATCATCATCATCAGCAGCAGCAGCATCAGCTTCTCATCATCAGCATCATCATCAGCAGCAGCATCACAACCACCACCGCCACCATCATCATCATCAGCATCATCACCATCAGCAGCAGCATCAACATCATAATCATCATCATCATCACCATCAGCATCATCATCCTCATAATCCGCATCCTCATCCTCATCATCATCATCAGCAGCATCAGCATCATCATCATCATCATCATCATCATCATCGTCATCATATCATCATCATCATCATCATCATCATCATCATCATCATCATCATCATCATCATCATCATCATCATCATCATCATCATCATCATCATCATCATCATCCTCGTCCTCCTCCTCCTTTCCCTCCTCCTTTCCCTCCTCCTCCTCCTCCACCTCCTCCTTCTCCTCCTTCTCCTTCTCCCCCTCGGCGGTGGCAGCGCGGCGGCGCCGCGGCGTCTTGGGCGAGCTCCTCGGAGAGGCCTCCAGAGCCTCTGCTCGCCGTCCCCGAACCAGGGCATCGCCAGGAACCCCTCGCCGCCCACCTCTGCACGAGGAGGGCGAGGAGGACGAGGAGGACGAGGAGGGCGAGGAGGGCGAGGAGGACGCGGAGAAGGACGAGGATGAGGACGACGACGAAGACGAGAAGGAGGACGAGGAGGAGGACGAGGAGGAAGACGAGGAGGAAGACGAGGAGGACGAGGAGGACGAGGAGGAGGACGAGGATGAGGACGAGGACGAGGAGGAGGAGCAGGAGGGGGAGGGGGAGGAGGGGGGTGGACGCGGGAGGACGAAGGAGGGAAGGGGGCCCAGCCCGAGCCCGCGGCGAGGCGCGCCGCACAGCCAGCCTGCCAACCCGCAAGCCGCTCGAGGGCCCCCCGAGCCAGACATGATCGCGCCGTACAGTCGGACCTAGAACGAAAGAGCATCCTTCGAGAACATGAGACCCTCTGCCGGCCAAACGCACAGAACATCAAAGGGCACCCTCCCCAGGATGCACAAGAGCATCCAACAAGCACGAAGAACATTAGGACACCCTCCCCGAACCGACCTCGATCTGATACCTCGGTCCGACTGCAAGAACTCGGCGGCGAGCCTGGAGGAAAGTGAGACGGGGTGGGCCTTCTTAGAAGGCTCGGAAGGCCTCCGACCTCCTGAGACGTTTCCGAAGCCTCCCCCGAAGACACGGATCACTTCTCACAAAGCCAGCGGGCTTCGGAGAAGCCCCGTCGCCTCCTGAGAAGGTCTGCTCCTTCTCACTTCCCCCTGGCCGCGCCGCCGAAAGGCATAAGGGCGGGACGTGTTTGGCAGTTTTCGGCCTCTGGGGGCCCTCGCCAGGCCAGGGGACTGCAAAAAACACATATGTATATATATATATATATGTGTATGATCCGCGGGTCGAGAGCGCACCTCTTCCGGTCGAAGCTAAGCGGGCCGCGCGAAGCTTGAATTAGGCAGAGAAGAGGAGGGAGGAAGCCGCGGAGCCTCAGAGCGAGGCCGAGAGGAGGCAGAGCCTCGGATACAGGCGGTGCCGAAGCCGAAGTTCATGCAAAGGGACGCCTTCGGCAGGAGACTGCAAAAGACAGCTCGGAATGGAAAACCGGCCCCAGGGGAAGGGTCGGGACTTCGGGGGGCACCGTGTTGAAAACCGCAGGACGTCGCACGTCTGGATCGAGGGCTGGCCGACTTCTCCCGTCCCTCTCGGTGATCCTCAGAGCGCGTGCTGTCGCCAGCGCTTGCTTCGTCCGCCGAAGCCCTTCCACACGACGCGGGCGGTGCAACGAGGCGCGCCGTGGGCGGCGGGAGATCGGCGGAGCGGAAGCGGGGAAGGCACTGGAAACAGCGACGACGGCGGCAGCCGCCGCGGCGGCGGCGGGACCGTCGACGTGGGACTCGTCCAGCCAGTCTTGTGTCGGGCCTGTGCCTCTACAGGGGGAGCATTCAGAAATAGTAAAGAAAGAGTCCGGGGACGATTGTTTGACTAGTTTTGAGCACTTGGGAAATATGTTTTGACTATTGTTTGAAATGTTTCGCCCAGACTCCCCCTGTAGGGGGACAGGCCCGACCTGAAGCCAGTCCCCCGAGGGGGGCGAGGGCCCCCCACGCTGAGCCACCTGCTTAGGAGGAGTCGCCCGGCGGCCGGCTCCCCAGACTCCCGAGGAAGCGGCGGCCGGAGGCGCCACCGAGGGAGCCTTCTCACGGGGGGCTCCCGGGGAGCGACTCGGCGAGGACATTAGGGGGCCACATACGAACCCTACCCCTACCCACTTCGATTTCTGAGGGGGAGGGTGGGGTTCACTTCGCTCGGTAGCTCCCGGACGAAGTGAACCCCACCCTCCCCCTCAGAAATCGTGGGGGGCAGGGGTAGGGTTCGCATGTGGCCCCCTAGACATCCCACGCGAGACCGTCCGTCGGGGAAACGTCGGACTGATTCTCTGGATTCCACAAAGGTGATGTCGGGAGGCGCGACTGGCTCGTTCCTCTCCTTGCGCGCCGGGTGCCGGGACGACGGGGCCCCATCACACGGAAACTGCCACCAGAGCAACCTGCTCAAGCAAGCCCGGGTGGGGCAGATGCTTTGAGAACGTCTCGAAGCGAGCCCCAGCCTCTTCGTCATGCGCGGTAATCTCTGCAGCAGTGCCAGACCCACTAACCCATCCCCTCGGCCGAGCTGCCGAGCCGCAGCAAAAGTCCGAGCGTGCGAGGGAGTGTGCGAAGCATCGACGACCCCCCCCCGCCCCTCGACTCCCCCACGGACCGAAGGAGACCGACAGCCCCCGAGCGCTCACCCATCATCAAGAATGCGTCAACGGGCGTGCTGGTACAGTGCGGGGGCGCTGGAGGACGAGACTCTGCACCCAGAGGTCCAGGCTCGCGGCGAGCAACCTCCCGCAGAGATGCCCCTCCTGGGCCGGGGTTGACGATCGGACAAGCCATCTGAACTCCCTTTTTACGCACGATGCTCGGCATCCCCGTCCCCCCGCACAAATGACCTTTCCCTCTGCGAATACACATCCTCCTCCTCCTCCTCCTCCTCCTCCTCCTCCTCCTCCTCCTCCTCCTCCCCTCCTCCTCCTCCTCCCCTCCTCCTCCTCCTCCTCCTCCTCCTCCTCCTCCCCCTCCTCTTCCTCCTCCCCCTCCCCCTCCTCCTCCCCCTCCTCCTCCTCCTCCTCCTCCTCCTCCTCCTCCTCCTCCTCCTCCTCCTCCTCCTCCTCCTCCTCCTCCTCCTCCTCCTCCTCCTCCTCCTCCTCCTCCTCCCCCTCCCCGCACTCCGAGCGCACCAGCATATGGAGGAGTCGCGGCGTCAGGGGCCTCTGGAGCTCTCGACCCCATCGTCGCTCTGGTCCTCTATCCCCGCCGCGCCGATGCGCGCATGTGCGGCGGGCCCTGAACCCCCATGTAGCCCAAGAGGAACCCATCGGAGGGTTCTAAGATTAAGTCGGGCCTGTCCCTCCACAGGAGGAATCTTCAAAAAGAGTCAAAAAATAGTATGGGGACGATGGTGTGACTATGTTTGGGCATTTGGGGAGTTTGTTTGTTTGTTATAGATAAAAATGTCGCCCAACATACGTCTGTAGGGGGACAGGCCCGACTCTTTTCTAAGACGAACATGCTGTGGCGTCTCCCCGAGCCCTCAGACGGTCGCGGGAACCGAGAAGGCCTCCCAAGAGGGGGCCTCAGAGGGGCGCGCGCAGAAGCAAGTGGAGGCCGAAGGACCACGGCCGGGCACCGCGTCAGCCAGTCAGTCAAGCCATACGCCGGAGCGCGTGGGCGAAAAGAGACGATGCCGGCCTGTACTCTCCGCTTTGCAGGAGCAGCGGCACGCCCACCGATTGTTCGACTGCATCGTGTGCGGGTGGAAAAGAGGAGAGGCGGGGAAGAGCGGGCAGGGGGGCTCACTCAGACAGGGCGGCTCCGCGTGGTGACTGGCAACTTGGCGCCAGCAGCCGGCGGCGAGCGAGGGGGGGGGGGGGGGGGGACGCGAGAAGGAGAAGGCCTGCTCAGAAAGGCGGCGGGGCTTCTCAGGAGCCCTCGCGCCCTCCGAGAGCCTTCTTCTTCTTCTTCTGTCGCCGGGGCAGGCTCGGAGGGCGTCTCGGGAGGCCGGGGGGGCTCCCGAGCCTTCTGAGAAGGCCGGCCCCCTTCTCGCCTTCCCTCCTGGGCGCGACGCGGAGCGACGACGCAGACATCGATGGAGTTCTTTGAACGATCCCCGCTCTCCGCTCTTCGCCATCGGAGACTTCGTGGACACCGCTCGACCTGGAACGATGACGCGGACGCTCGAGTTCTTTGAGTTCTTTGAACGATCTCCGCTCGACGCGGAGCGATGACGCAGACATCGCAGACTTCGTGGACCCTTCGCTCTTTCAACGATCCCCGCTCTCCGCCATCGGAGAGCGTTCCATGCTGGCCGAGCTCGGGCCGCCGAGGAGCCTCGGGGGCTCGACCTGGAACGCTGGCGCGGGCGTCCACGCGTCGACTGAAGGGGCCCAAGGACACACCAAGAAATACACACAAATCGAAGGATTCCCCATATTTTCCCATATTTGCGGGGGTTTTGTCTTCCCCGCCACTTCGCATAATTTCCCATATTTTCTTGGGAATCGACCATTAATTGTGTCTGTGTGTTTTTTCCCCTCCTGATCGACGCGGCGCGAACTGCCGCACCGAGCCCAGATGCGAGCAAGAGCCTCAGGCACTGCCCACTCCACGGCTGCAGCCACACGGCAGCTTCGGGTGCGCTGAAGGAGGGGGCTGGAAGGAGGGGGCCATGACATCCGGGAGATTTCGTGGCCCAAGCCATGATACCCACGCACCCCTAGCCTTGGGTCGGGCGTGTCCTCCTACATGCGGACTTTGGAGGAGAAATTACAAAAAGTCAAAGAATATTCAAAAATAATCCAAACAAAAATCATCCCCATACTATCTTTGACTATTTTTGAAGATTCCTCCTATAGAGGGACGTGCCCGACTTAACCCTAGTCCTCAAGCCCCATCTGGACGCCCCTGGCGGAAGCCCCGACTCCAGGTTCAGGGACCTTAGACGCCCGAGCTGCAGCCTGCTGGACGAAACGGCCAAGGATGCAAGGACGGGCCAGAGATGCAAGGACGAGAGGGTGCCCTTGGAAAGCTGCCCGTCCCTGTGATACTGCTCTGGAAGAAGAAAAAACGCCAGGAACATAAACCTTTGGCGCTCCGCGCGAAGTTCTTGGATCTGCGCTGGGCCCCCCTCCCTGGCGCGCGGAGCGCGCCAGGGTCGGGAACCACCAAAGGGGGGGCGACCCCGAGGGGGGGCACGGGTTCGACCCGCTGGTGCACCGAACTGCCGCAGACAGATGCCCCCCGCATGCCCCACGCATCGGCAACTATCGGGAGCTGCCGGCAGCTGGGGGGATCTATTCTGGGCGGTTCGGTGAAAAAAACGATCGAACTCACACAAACACACACACACACACTCACACACACGGGGCACACACACACACACGAGGCACACACTCACACACACACACACACACACACACACACACACACACACACACGTTGCGGGATCCCGACAGGGGCGGCGCCGGAGGCGCCGCCAGGGGGGCCCCAGCGCGGATCCAAGAAATCCTCGCGGAGCGCCAAAAGTTTATGCTCGCGTTTTTCTTCTTCGAGCGCTCGGCTAGACACCCTGGCCCCTCTGCTCTCGGCTACACGCAGGAATGACCCTGAGTAAGAGTGACCTTTGGTGCGCGGCTTTTTGGGGGCCGCGTGGGGACCAAACTTGGGCGCGCAAGCCGTTGCTCCTGCTTCGCTTTCAGCCATGTGGGGACCCATCTGCACCCGCACCAGAGGTCACTCCGGCGAAAAGTCACTCTTACGTCTAGTCGATGCTCGAGCTGTGCGCGCGCCCGCCTCGCAGATTAGCACCTCCTCGGCCCCGCAGCTCGCGGAGCCGAGCCTCCGGCCCAGGGCTTCCACGAGCGAGGACATGGCGCTCTGCTCGGAGGGCGCTCCGCCGGCGAGCCTCGCGGGGCGGGGCCGTGGAGGGCGCCGCTCACAGGGCCGCCACGGGCGGGGGCGGGAGGAGGAGGAGGAGGAGGAGGAGGAGGAGGAGGAGGAGGAGGAGGAGCAGGCCCCCGCCGGGCCCACAGTGCCTCATCGGAAGCAAGCGCAGGCTTCTCCCGCGGCGCGGCGGCGCCCCAGGACCCCAAACTTCCGCCGGTCGCGCCGAAACTGGCGGCTGTAGACACACACTCACACAACAACAACAACAACAACAACAACAACAACAACAACAACAACAACAACAACAACAACAACAACAACAACAACAACAACAACAACAGCAGCAGCAGCAGCAGCAGCAGCAGCAGCAGTAGCAACAGCAGCAACAACAACAACAACAATGACAACGACAACGACAACGACAACGATAACGACAACGACAACGACAACGACAACGATAATAATAATATATATATATAAGAAAAGAAACGAAAAAAACAAAAACAAAAAAAAAAAAAAAAAAAACTGACCCCACGGGCCGCGCTCCGCGCGTCGAGCAACATCAGGGAGGTCCCGAGGAGGGTTCCAGGATCGGTGTGGTGTCGCGCTCCGCCGCGCCCGCGGGACTTGCGCTCGGCCTCGAGGAAGGGCTGCAGCATCGGTGCACCAGCCCCCCCGGCTCGGCCAGCTCGGCACGCCTGCACCGAACCCAGGCCTTGGCGGCGCGCACGCGGGGGTGGGGGGAGGGGCGAGGGCTTCTTAGAAGCACCCCTGCTTCTCAGAAGACGCGGGCCTTGTGTATAGATGCAAGGCCGGCGCCTTCTGAGAAGCAGCCTCCTCCTAAGAAGCCCTCCCCCCTCCCTCCACCCCCTTGCGCGCACCGAGCCCAGGCCAGGAGCTGGCGGGGCCGGGAGGCCGGTGCAGGCGCCCGCGTGCGCCCGGTGGCCCAAGAGGTGCTGCAGCGACGGACGGCCCCGAGGCCCAGAGGCCCGACAGACCCCCGTCGGGGAGACGCTTCCTTTGCGCGGCGCCAGCCTTCAACGCGCAGTTTTTGCGGCGCCGACCGTGTGGGCAGGGTGTCCCGCTGCAGGGGTCGTTCGGCCGTCCGCGCCAGGGCGCCCAACTCCGCAAAAGAAAGTGCGCTGGCACACAAACACCTTCATTTTTTGGTCACCCCTGAGGGGGGGGCTCCAGCCCTCCTCGCATGGGGGATCCAAAAACCGTGCGGTGGCAGAGCGTGCGGTGACCTCGGAACCCCCCGGACACCGCCCGGTGCGTCACCGCACGGCCTCGGGAGCCCGGAGGCCCCTGTCGCCCAAGGCATCCTCGGAGAGGGGCTCGAGTCCCAAAACCGTGCGGTGACCCCGAATCCCCACCGAGTCTCCACACGGCGTGGTCACCACACCGTCTAGGGGCCTCAGATCGAAATCAGACGCAGGTTAATGTATCCGACCCCCTCACCCCCGAGGTTCGGTGTCGATCGACGCGGCCCGCGGGGTCCGACCAACAAGCTGCAGTCGCCTCGCCATGTCGGCGCGAACATTGAGATTGGGGGTCCAGGGGCGCCGACACGTCGCGGGAAAAATTACTCCACATTGAATGGCTTGAAAATCAGTGATATGGATATATTGAGATCGATTGTGAGATCGATAGTGAAATCGATGGTGGAATCGATAGTGAGGGCGATCGTAAGGTCGATCGTGAGACCGATCGTGAAGTCGATTAAATGAAACCGATTGTGAGATCGATCGTGAGATCGCTCGTGCGATCTGTAGTGATATCGATTGTGAGATCGATAATGGAATCGATTGTGATATCGATAACGAGATCGATAGAAAGGTGGGTAATGAGATCGATGGTGAGACCGATCGTTAATAAAATCGACCATGAACACAGGAACCTGGGAACCCCGCCGCTCACCGAGATCGGCCCAGAACCCCGAACTGGGAACCCAGGAACCCGGAATCGGGAAACCAGCCGCTTCCCCAGAACCGTTTCCCCGGAGGGCCGTTTCCCCGGAGCCGTTTCGCCAGAGACCTCTTCCCCGGAGGACCGATTCCCCGGAACCGTTTCCCCAGAACCGTTTCCCTGGAACCGTTTCTCTGGAACCGCTTCCCCGAATCAGCTTCCGCATAGCCGTTTCCCCGGAACCGCTTCCCCGGATCCGTTTCCCCGGACCCTCTTCCCTGGAAGCGTTTCCTATGCGCACCCTCCTCCCCAGAATCGTTTTCCCAGAGACCGCGTCCCCAGTACCACTTCTCGAGAAAGATAAGGGAGGAATGAGGGAGGGATGAGAGATGAGGGAAGGAGGAATGAGGGAGGGAAGGAGGAAGGGAGGGATGAGGGATGAGGAATAGGTGAAGTATGAGGGAAGGAGGACGACGGAGGGAGGGCGGAAGGATGAGGGATGTGGGATGAAAAGGAGTGGGGGGCACGAGGGATGAGGGAAGACGGAGGGGGGAGGAGGAGGAGGAGGAGGAGGAGGAGGAGGAGGAGGAGGAGGAGGAGGAGGAGGAGGAGAAGGAGGAGGGGGAGGAGGAGGAGGAGGAGGAGGAGGAGGAGGAGGAGGAGGAGGAGGAGGAGGAGGAGGAGGAGGAGGAGGAGGAGGGGAGGGAGGAGGCGGAGGAGGAGGAGGAGGAGGAGGAGGAGGAGGAGGAGGAGGAGGAGGAGGAGGAGGAGGAGGAGGAGGAGGGGGGGGCGGGAGGAGGAGGAGGGGGAGGAGAAGGAGGAGGAGGAGGAGGAGAAGGAGACCAGCAAAACCACCCTGTACTTTCGACAAGCCGTGCAAATGCTACCGAGCACACGGGATGTCTCGGGGAAACAAGCCAAACCAAACCGGATCACTTCAAGTGCGGACATCTCTGAGCCCAGAGGTGGAGGGATGAGGGCAGAAAGTATGAGGAATGAGAAGAAACAGCTTAGATGACTGATGGGAGAAGGAAGGAGTGATAAGGGACCGGTCGACGGGAGAGCTCGGGTCGGTCGGGCGGGACCCTTTCGGGCGGGTCGGTTCGGGCGGGCGGGACATAGACAAATTGCGCATCATCGGGATGGGACGCGAGTACCCAAACGGGAGGGTCGGGTCGGGCGGGCGGGACATGAATGCATGGCGCATCATCGAGGCGGGAGGCGAGTCTCCTAACGGGCGGGTCGGGTCGGGCAGGCGGGCGGACCCTAACGGGGTATCCTAACGGGCGGGTCGGGCGGGCGGGCGGACCCTAACGGGCGGGTCGGGTCGGGTCGGGCGAGCGGACCCTATTGGGCGGGTCGGGTCGGGCCGGGCGGGCGGGACATTAAAGTATGATTCATCATCGCGTTGGCACGCGAGTGCCCTAACGGGCGAAAGGGGCCGGGCGGACCCTAACGGGCGGGTCGGGTCGGGCCCCTGGGTGCGACCTGCTGCTCTCCGTCACGAGAAAAGCCCCACCCCTCGTTGAAGATCGACAGACGATGAGCTTGCGAAGGGGCAAGAGACTTCTCCGCCCCACCGGCACCCCACCACGACGCGTCAACGCAAGAGACGACAGGCGACAGCTGGCGCCCGGCATCGCGGGAGCACGGGGCCAGCAGAGCGCGGAACCAGCGAAGCCCCATTCTCGCCGCCAGGGGTAGCCGCGGCCTCTCGCAAGCGCCCTCGCCCATAAACCCGCGCACGGCACTCAGGCAGCTCAGCGGCTCGCGGCGGATCAACGCCCTCGCTGCGAAGCGCGAGACCACCACCATCACGGTGGGACCGCTGCACCTGACCGACCGATGCCCAGGCGTAGCCGCCACCGCAGCCGCACACTGAGGCCGACCACGGGCCTGTCCAGGCCGAAGTGCCAGCCCAGCGCCTCGCCGCCCAGCGAAGCCTCCACGGGGTGCGCGGGGAAGGGCGAGGACGTCATCTCATCCTTCACGCGGGCGGCGGCGCCCCTGACCTCCTCGAGGCGGTGGGACAGCGCGATGAGTTTGCCAACGCGCACCGCGCGCGCCATCCCATCTGCGAGGACGGGGGCCGGGCGCCGATGCACTAGGCGCCGGCAGGTCTGGCCAGGGAGAGCCCCGGCAGTCGCCGCCTCGTTCAGGGCATGGCAGATCCACAAGCTGATGCCCCACCCCATGGGCGGGCACCGAATGCACGGCACGACCCAGGACGACGGCTCAACGAACGCCCCGCCAGCGAGGCGAGACAAACCCACGACTCTAACGCGTGCACGCGACAGACCGAAGCAGCGCCGAAGTCACGGCGTCACCTCTACCTGGCACAAGGCGTCGGAAATGCCAACGCCGCCGACGCCGATGGGCTCGTCGCCGCCAACGGAGATGCGCGAGAAGGCCGCGCCCGTCGCCAGCTCCACCGAGTCGGCGGCGCCGAAGCGGAGCGAAGCGCGGCGGCCATCGAGGATCATGCGAAGCATCCCGCTCTTCTTGCGCACGAAGAACAGGCCAACGGAACACTCTGCCAAGCTGCGAAAATCCACGAGCCCAGCTGCTCGAAGCCTCCGCACCACCTTGGTGTAGAGGCGCGGATTGCGGAGGGCAGGATCAGCGTACGGTCGCCCGGCCTTGCCTCCTTGATGCGACCTATCCCCAGCTGTCGGGGTATCATGAGCGATGCTCCGTCCTGCCATCTCGTCGATGTGCTCCAGTGGCGTCGGGCGGCTGCCCGCGGGAGGCAAAGAGATGGAGTCGACGCGGTCGAAGCTCACCGATGCAACCATCGTGGCGTCACCCTCGCATGACGGCGCAATCGGGAGCTCCTCAAGGGCCCCTGGACCGCCCAGATCCTCAGGACAGGGACCCAAGCGAGGCGCGGCCTCCCGAAGCTCCGTGAGGACCCAGGCGCGGCCAGCTGAAGGCGCCGATGATCAGGCAGGCACCTGACCGCGCACTGCCGCTGGGCAGCCCCGCAACTCGTTCGCGTGCCACTCATCTCGTTGACCACGCCGTCGATGTGGAAACGCCTAAGCGCCTCCGACTTGACCGTGGTGGCGGAAATGAAGCGCGCGCAAGCAGAGGCCTAGCGCGGTCGAAAGGTAGAGGAAAGAGGTCGCGTTGGCGATCAAGAGCACTGGGAAGATGAGCCTCATGTACAGGCAGAGAATCTTCAGCCGCGAAGCCCACGGCTGCCCCCTCTCTCGGCCTGGCTGACGCCTGGGCGAGGGGGACCCGAGCGCCGCTCGCGATGCTCATGACGACCGAACGCGACGCTCTTCAAGGGCTTGCCTGATCAGCTTCAAGATCCCTGCGTCGCGCTCAACCTGTTTGGAGACGTGTTCCGGCAGCAACGGGCATAGCATGGAACGGCCGTCGTCTTTGGCTGCACCGGTGAACACCACCGCCTCGTCCACGATGCCGAACTCTTGCAGCCCAGCTCCGCGCCCACGTCCCTTCCTGTTCTTGTCTTCGTTTTCGCCGTCCGCAGCAGCACCGCCCGAGCCCTTAGCCTCTCTAGCCTCGAACTCCATCGAGTAGGTGTACTCGTGCAGCTGCGCCCGTCGCCTGGCCAGCTCTACCCCGACGTAGTCGGGAAGATTGAGCTGGCCCCCGCGCCCGAGGTGCTCGATTATCTGCATGATATTCTCGCACGGACTCATGCCGTATCCGTCCCTCGAGAAGCGGTAAAAGCTGATGAACGCAATGTAGTGCTCCACCAGGCCACCTTTCTTGAGATCGATGAAGTAACACCACAGCACCGTGCGAGGGCAGTCCAGCAGCCACCCACAGGCAAAGTTCTGCATCGGGCCAGGAACAACTTCGCGCCAGATCAGGCGCGTGCGACCGCCGCCCGCCAAAGGTGGCACCCCCAGCAGCCTGATGTCAGCTCCGCTCCCGGAGCACTGGCACACTGTCGGCGGGATGGAGATGCGTCGGACCGCCGCCCAGCCAGAGCCGACACGCATATGAGGCCCAAAACGCCCTCAATCTCCACCGAGCCGTCGAACATCAGAGTGCCTCCCCGCTTGCCAGCGTCGGTCGTCTCCGCCAGCAACCACACAGGCCCAGGAGGAGCCGCCGCCAGAGGGGCCCTCGGCCCCGCACCCGCCAGTGGCCCACCGACACGGTGGCGGCCGCAGGAGCCGCGGGGCCGCCAGCAGGCACGCCGCCAGCGGCCACGGCGGCAGCCGCCGGGGACGCGTGGCCGCCAGCGGCGGCCACCCCAGCCAAGGTGGCGGCCAGAGGCGGAGCGCCCACCGCGGGCGCCGGGGCAGCACCAGGCACGACCACGGCGGAGTCGAACTCCACACAGGCTCCGCCAGGAGGGACCCTCTGAGGGCTGCCAGCTGCCCGCGCTCGACCCAAGTATAGGGCTGTGGCAACCTGCTAAGACGCATCGCCGATCGCCTGTGCCGCACGAGCGTTCGGCCCGCGGCAAAAACGACGCTGCTGGTTCGGATCCACTCACTCTAGAGCTCGCCTCGGCTGCAGGGACACGACCGCCCCGTTGTCGAGGCCGCCCGTCGAGCAACACTCCTCGCACACATCATGGTCGGGCGCCGATATGAGTACACTGAGCGGGTCTCTGATCCCCGCCTGAGGGTTCGCCAACCTGCCCCAGACTCGTCGCTGATGCCACACCCGATCGACGCGGTACAACACCCAGGCCCAGGGCAGGACGCCGGTGGGCAGGGACAGTCGGGCGGCCATAATCCTCCTCGCACCAGGCTCCACAGCGTCGCGACGAGCCCGCGTCCGCACTGGGCCGAGACCAGCAGCACGTTGCCGAGGGGGAACGGGGTCCAGTTCCAGGCCCCCTTCCTGATGGCGAGCTCCCTGGCGGTGGAGCTGGCGTGGCAGCCAGAAGCGCCTCCGGCGGCGGCGGCGGCGCAGGGGCCGCAGTCCGTGGCGATGCAGCTGGCACCACGGGGCACGTCGAAAACTGCTCCGACGGCAGGCAGTGCACCTCCCCGCACGAGAGGTTGCCGCACGCCACCGCCGGGCAGGTGGGCTCGGGCGGGCACTCGGGTGCCCGCGGACGCAGCGACGCCCTCGATAGCCAGGCCGCCAGCAGGATGGACGCCGCGCCGAAGGTAAAGACGGTGGCTTGGGCAACCATTTGCACCGCCTGAGCAGACGCCCCAGCTTGCTGGGAAAAAAAGACTTGAGCGTGTGTGCCCACGCCTCCCCCCTACCGAGTGTTTGTGTCTATGCGTGTACATGTGTATGTGTTTGTGTATGTGTACGTGTATGTGTATGAGTGTGTGTACGTTTATGTATATGTGCATGTGTATGTGTAAGCATCTGCGTATGGGCATGTGTATGCGTATGTGTGTGTGCATGTGTGTGGGGGGGGGAGAGGGGGCGTGTGTGCGTGTGCGTGTGTGCGCGTGTGCGTGTGCGCGTGTGCGCGTGTGCGTGTGCGCGTGTGCGCGTGTGCGCGTGTGTTCGTATGTGCGTGTGTGCGCGTATACGTGTGTGCGTGTGTGCGTGCGTGTGCGTGCCTTTTGCGTGTGCGTGTGCGCGTGCGTGCGTTTGTGCGTGCGTGCGTATGTGCGTGTGTGCTTGTGTGCTTGTGTGCGTGTGCGTGTGCGCGTGTGCGTGTGTGTGGGCGGGTGTGTGTGTGTGTGCGCGTGTGCGTGCGTGTGCGTGCGTGTGAGTGTGCATGAGTGTGTGCGTGTGTGTGTGCGCGTGTGCGTGTGTGCGTGCGTGCGTCCGGTCATAATTAGCACCTCCATCTGCTGTTCGCACTTGAGAGCCCTCTGCGCCACAGACCTGAAAAAAAGTGTGCGCGTGTGGGTGTGTGCGTGTGCGCGTGTGTGCGCGTGTGCGTGCGTGCGTTCGTGTGTGCGCGTGTGCGTGCGTGCGTTCGTGTGTGCGTGCGTGCGTGTGCGCGTACGCGCGTTTGCGAGAGTGGGTGTGTGTCATTGTGCCTTCGACAATGCTCGATCGCAAGTAGCACCTCCATCTGCTGCTCGAGCTTGAGGAACCTCAGTGCCGCCGACTTAAGAAGTGCGTGTGTACGCGTGTAGGCGCGTGCACGTGTGCGCGTGGGCGCGTGTGCGCGCGTGCGCGTGTGCGGCTGTGCGTGTGTGCGTGTGTGCGTGTGTGCGTGTGTGCGTGTGTGCGTGTGTGCGTTCGCGCGTGTGTGCGTGTGTGCGTTCGCGCGTGTGTGCGTGTGTGTGTGCGTGTGTGCGCGCGTGCGTGGGGGACGAAGCGGGGGGCATCATATGGTCATCGTGCTACGCATGGAACAATGAAGAAGAAGAAGCGCAGGGGCTCTTCTGGTCACGGCGAGCCTCGGCCACGAATAGGCTCCCCGACCTGAATCTGGGGAACGGCCCGAAGACGAGAGCCCCTCCCGAGCCTGCCGCGGTCCTTCTTTCAGCGTGTTGGCTGCACTAGTTTGTGGCCTACTGCAGGCCTGCCTCGCTGGCACCGCTGCACCAAAGCCTCTGCGGCCACCGATCCACAGAAGGGGGGCCCAAGACAACGGAGAACCAAGATCCGCCGCTGCACAGGGCAAAAAACAAACACGAAACACGGTGTCAAACCCCGCCTCAACATCCTGAGATCGACTCCACCGTCCGTGCCATATCCAGCCATGGCACTGTGATCGCAAGAGAAGGCATGTAAGGGCAGATCATACATGTTGGAAAGTTTCAAAGTGCGGGCTATGACTGCCGAAGGTGCCAAGCCAATTACTGATCGAGCTCTGGAAATGCCCTGCGTGATGCTCATGTAATGAGGCTCTCGCGACCCTCCCCTCGCCACAGAGTGGGCATCACATGGCGCTGCCCAACTTGGGTGGCGAAGGAAACGCCGCCTCACACAAGAGCGCATAGCGACCCTACGCGGTGGCTTTCCCAGGCTACAGACGCCGCAAACCAAGCGGAACAGGGAGTATTTGCACGCGGCCTCAAGCGGGCAGCTACCGCGCTGGCATCTGTACCGTCGGCCCAGCGCACCTGTTGCCGCTCAATGGGAGGAAGGCGCGCCCCAGCCCTCCCTTCCGAGGCACCAGGCAGCTGCCATTCAGGGCATGCACCTCCGGGGGAGAGGGGCGATTGGCGGCTTAAGGGACTGAGGGGCGCATGGCATGGGCTCAGGACAGAAACGAGAGTTCCAGACTGATGGCGTCGAGGGAGGCACGCTTGCCCGCAAGTGGAAGACACCAGGATGGAATGCCGCAGAGCAAGCGGAACCAACGGATGGCGTCCTTACAGCTCCCTTCCGAGAAAACAGCCTGCTGCCAAAGGCAGGGCCGTGGGGGACTGAAGGAACTGGAGACCACGGCGTCGAAATCCTTCCCCGTGGGGCGTTCGTGACGTGCCAGCCTTGGACCAGAAGGGCACATGTCGCGACTGGCACAGAGGTCTCGTGTGCTGATGATGCCCCAACACGCCTCAAAAGCCTTCCACAGCCGTACAGCTTCTTTCCGATCAGAAGGCATCTCGTTCCTTCGAGTGGTGAGAAGCCCAGACACGCGATATCCGGACTATTTCCGAACCAGGCCCCCGAATGTCCTGACCCTTTCCCCGGGACCGGCTTTTCGTCCCGAGTCTTTTTTTGACGGCCCCGGGGCCAGGCGACGGTCCCCCGAGGCCGAAAACGGCTGAAAAAATCTTTCGTCCTGATTTGTTCACGACGCGATCACGGGGAAGCAAAAAATGTCATAAACTTGAAAATTCAAAGTTCCGCGCGGATTTCTCGGATCGGCGCCGGAGGCGCCGCCTGAAGGCCCCAGCGCCGATCTGAGGAATCCGCGCGGACCTCCGAGTTCTCATGCTTCTGTCGTTGTGTGTTTTGACGGCGCATACAAGGAGGTTAGGGGAAGGGGGAAGGCTTCTCAGAAGGGGGCCGCTTCTCAGGAGGCGCGGGCCTTACATCTACAGGCAAGGCCCGCGACTCCTAAGAAGCAGGAGTGGTTCTAAGAGGCCTCCCCCCCTCCCCCTGCCCCCTCTGCGCGTGGCCGAGATAGATACTCTGGGAACTGCCGCGGCCGGCGAGGCAGGCGAGCCGCAATGCGGCCGCTGCCGCGCGAGGTGTGCGCCGCTGCAGCGACAGAGGAGCTGCCAAGGAGGAACGCCTCGGAGCACCAGAGCGAGAGCGAGCCCCACGTCCGCGGAGCCGCTGGCGGAGTAGGAGAGCGGCGCCAAGGGCTGGGGGCGAGTGGCCGAGTGTTCTCCCGTGCTCATGCCTGGGAGGGCACTGCCCCCCCACCCCCCCGCGCCGTCTGCAGAGCGCGCGGCGCCGCAAGACCGCCCGGAGGCCGCCCGAAGGAGGGGACAGGCCTGGCCTGGCAGCCCCCTCGCGTCGGCTGCGCGGGGCGCGGGGTCGGCGGCGGCAGCGCGCGCGGGCGGCCCCCTCTTGATGGACCAAGTCCCCACCACCACTACCACAGGTAGAACGAGGGAGAAAGAGACAGCCCCCCACCAAGTGGGGAGCATGGGCAGAATAGAACGGAGACAGACAAGGACATGAGGGCAGCGAAGGAAATGCTTCATGGTGTCGCTACCTTCGGCGTCGCACCCGAACCTGCAACAAGTCGCTCGGTTCCTGTATCGAGCGGCTGTGTTTCAACTATTAGTCCAAGTTTTCAGAGTGGCGACCAAAATAAAGGGGGCCAGCTGTTTGGCAGCCCACCCGAAACGAATCAGCGCAGCATCTAGTTCTTGGCACGAGAGCTCTAATTTCCAGTATTTAAACCGAGGGACCAGAGACTCACGAACATGTCTGGAGTCCAACTTAAACAAGTGCTTGCACACAGACCTCTGAAAGTGGGGACCGTTCCAGTATTTTGCAGGGACACCAGGGGTAGCAGACAGAGCCTTAACGTTTTCATGTAGACAGAAGAAGAACGAGTTGCGGAACATATGCTGATACTCGTAGGCCACAACGTAGTCCCCGTCCTCCCAGAGTTCGTCGAACATCCCAACTTGGCGGTGGTAGGCGGTAGCTTTGAGAGCATTTCGACGCATAGACGCACGGACTTCGCACTCCAAGTCACGCAGATAAGGTCTCAGCTGGAGGTCTTCAAGCTTGAGGAGGGCGAGGTGAGGGATAGAGAATATGGGATTGCGCGTGAGTAGCTGGCCAGCTTCGCGATGAGCATCGCGAACTTCACGACATACAGGAAAAATTGTCCGACATATAGCAGGACCGACGCCCCGCTGAGTTGAACCTGGCAATGGAGCATAGCAGCGAGAGACCAGCAGCTGCAACTCCCCGGCCTCGCGCAACTACTTTGCAGAAAGGGGCATGCCACGAGCGTAGAGCAGTAGAACGTCCTATCATTACCCCAAGGTATTTAGCAGGGTCGTCGATCTGAAACATCGTAGCGTCTAGGCCGTGTGCTAAGAATTTCTGAAGAGCAGCTTCTCTGTCGTAGCGTAGCGCGACTATGATCGTCTTAGCACCATTAATACTAAGACCAGACGCACGGCATAGACGCTGAAAGTCAGAGATGACGCCAGGCAGCTGGCGAAAGACATCACGGCAAGCGATGCCTATGTCGTCGGCAAACGCTCCCAGCTCGCCCGCGTCTCCCGGGAGCCCGGACAGCAGGGCTCGCACGAAAGGGTCGAGGGCGAGAGCAAACAGAGAGCCACTGAGCGGGCAGCCTTGACGCACTCCGCGCAATGCAAGAAAGCCGTCAAAAATAATGCCCCAAAACATGATTTGGATGACAACGTTGGAGTAGAGATTCTGAAACACCCGAACTATGGTCCCATGGATACCCATTCGTAGCAAGACTTTCCAGATCCAGCCATGGTCCAAGGAAGGAAACCCCACGGTGAAATCGAAGAACGCGCAGCCTACCTCTGTGTTCGCGTGGAGCACATCTTCGAACGCCAGAAACCCGTCGAGGCTGATGATGTTGTCGGACGGGTTGCGTCCTCTGATGAAACCTCTTTGGTGAGCGTCACACAAGGACGCCGCAGCTGTAGCAAGGCTAAGGTTGAGGAAGCCACAAACGATTTTCATGTCAGTATTACTGAGGGCAATGGGGCGAGCGATTGCAGGGGCCCTTTCGACTCCCGAGGGCCCTTCAGCATCTAGAGCTTCGGGCAAGAGAACACACAGACCAGCGTCGAAGTCCTCCTGGACCTCGCTACCCTCGAGGATGGCAAGGCAGAGGCTGCACAGCGAGCGATGGCATGTCTCTCCACAGGCCTGCCAGGCAGAGAACGGCACGCCGTAGATGCAAAGGCTGGAGTCCGTAAGCTGTTCAACGTACCTTAAGAACTGGGGGTAGGGAACTTCCCACTCAAAGTCAAGGGGGAGGGCACGAACGAATTGAAGAAGCCAATATTGGTCAGCTGGGCTAGTAGAGTGTCTGCTGTGGACTTCATCCCAATGACGAGCAAGCGCAGCGGCAGCAGCGCGAGGCTCATGCTCAACCGAACCGTCTGGAAGAGAAACGCCCGACAAATAAAGTCTCCGAGACCTTGTGGCTCATTGGGCCATGTGACGGGCACTCCGTTGTTTACGGGTCGCTTTGGTAAAAGCCGGAGCGGGATTATCATGCACAACCTCCTCGAGTTGCTCTTCCGTGAGAGCACGGCCGTGAGCAGCAGAAAAGTTGTGGAAAGCGGGCTTGTCCAGCCACATCAGCGGCTCGGCGCCGATGGAAGTTCCTAGCTCGGGAACAGCGTGGATGGCACTAATGATGATCCGCAAATCTTGCCGTTTCATGACACGGTTCACCGCGAACGCCCACGCCATGGTTTCTGCCCGCGGCTCGGGGGGGCGGAGGGGACACCTGTTTTGTTCACAGACTTGCCCGCCTCAAACATAAGCTCTAATTTCCCGAATCCTTTCAAAACCACCTTCAGAGAAATCAGGTTCCCGAATGAGCTGCTCGAGAACTTCGTTAAAGAGCGGGCGCCTGCTAACCCGCGAGGGGGTGGTCGGCCTAGCTGCGCGCTCCTGCGGCGAGAGCGGCACATACACAGGACAGTGATCGCTCGGCTGGTTCGAGTCAAAGACAGACCACTGAGAGCTGGCCACGGCATGCATGTCTATAAAGTCTGTGGTGTACATGTTGGTGTATATACGATCAAGACGACCCACTGGGATGAGCTATGCTCCTTCATATGCGGCATGTGTGGGCTTGGCTTGGTAGCACTCAGCGAAGCTGCTAAACTTCTGCGCAAAGAACTTGCCGAGAGAGCTGGGAGGATAATGCTCACGATCAGCTGCTAATGTATTCTATCTGCCATCTCCGACCTCATAGAACTTAAAGTCGCCAAGCAAGAGCACCGTGCACTTGTCGGGCGGGGGCATACGTGACGCCAGAAGAGAGAGCTGCCTCTTTTTCTCGATGAAGGGGGCTCGCGGGCAGAGGTGGATGTTAGAGATTTGGAGAGAGCCATGCACGCCAGGGAGCAGAATAGAGTGAATGCGACCAGCAACTATGATGTCGTGCTCGACGTGATCGAAGAGCTCGAGCAAACGCTTGTGAATTACAATCAGAGAACCACCTGATGAAGCAGAGCAGTGGAAGTCCGGGAAGACCGCAACGCCCGGAACTTCACTCTTAATAGAATCTTCATCGCCTATGTGTCCATGAGTCTCTTGTAAACATAGAAGATGATGTCTTTGAATGAGGTAGGTTAGTCGACTGAACTTAATCCCTGAAGGTGCCCAAAAAGCGTGTGAGCATTCCAAGTGCAGGCCGAGAGGTGGGCAGAGGGGAGGAAAGCACTCTGGGATAGCGCATCAGCTCGAGCACTAGCGCTGGCAGCGTCGTGCGAGCTGGTCTCGCTGCTAGAGTCGTCAGAGGAGGAAGCAGAGGAGGGGGAGGAGGCGCCGTCAGAATCAGAAGAGGAAGAAGACGGCGACGAAGGTGTTCTTGTCTGCTGCACTGGATCGGTACCCCGTCAGAGGTAAATTGAAGGCCGAGAAGCTGATTCCTCGGCTGCCTTGATCAGGTTGTGGGCTTCATCCTCGGAGATGCCCCACTCAGCAAGGTCGGGAACGTTCGGAACGTACTCTACGATGCCCTTGGCGTCGATCTTCATGTGGAACAG